AACATTTTGCTTAGTGCGGAACAAACACTATCATCACAGAGCTTCAACTAAAATGTTTTCTTAGGTTATGCTGCCGTAGAGCCTGGTTAGGCTAGTAGGTCCTGATGGAGAGCGGCATTTGGAAAACAAAAATGGGTCATACGAGGCCGATTGCTTTTTTTTTTTTTTTTTTTCATTGATTTTTGGCAATCCTGGCTTTTTGTGTTCTTATCTTGGTTCCTTTAACCTCACTTTCATCAGTACGAGGCACTGCCAGGAGCCGTTTCCCAAGAACAGCTTGCGACTGGCTGCTTTTCTCTGAATCGAAGGCAGTTACATGGTATGTAATATCTGTTCATTGAGCTGAACATAGTTCTCACTGTGTATTACTTYTATTGATAATTTTTTCAAGGATTTATAGGATTTTTTGCTTCTAGCTAGGAGTAGTSCAATAAAGTCATATTTAACTTAGCTTTCTTGAAGGAGTTGTCCCTGCATGAAGTAGAAAGGTSTTTCCCCTTCCATTCACTCTGGAGTGTTCAGTACATGTTTCTGACCGCTCTGTGTCCACGTGCCATGTYTCAGGGCTCATGCAGTGCTTGATTTTTTAAAAATATAATGGTATAATTCTGTTTTTATAGCAGCTTGTCCTCGTGCACCTCTGCAGCACCAAGAGAGCAGCGGAACGTTGCATCATGGAAATTATCTGTATAGCTGGATGTAGAAGTAGGACTGTGAAAGCTTTACGCTGTAGCAGCACGCATGGCCTTGACTCCTGCTGGTCTGTGATGAAAACTGCTCGGAGCCTCGTCCAACCGTAGTTAGCATTTTCCAGTCAAAAGGACCCTGGACCAGGTTCTGGGATCTCTGTCACACGTATTAGCAGCTCGTGYTCCTCCAGAGGCTGATGTAGAATAAGATGGTGTAAAATGCAGCTGCAAAGGCACCTACCCCACTGGAGGTATCAGTACAAGAAGCAGCATTAAGTAATGAGATATTATGTCTGTGACAGGCATGTTGGTGGCATTACGGGTGACAATACATAAGGTGGTTTACATAAAGGTAAAATGCTGAAGAAGAAAATTACTCTCTAAAATGTGCATCTGTAAACATTATTGTGGTCAAAGAACCAAGGGGGGTTTGATACCACCTTACCTGCCACCAGTCCGGTCACAGAGGATATTCCAGTGACAAAATGAGTCCCAGGCAAGAGAAGCACCTCTGGACGTGTGTGTAGGGAGCTTCCTTGGTGACTGCAGCATAACCAGSACTCTGCCTCCATATGGGTATGGGAAATACTCATCCTTTAGGACGCTGAGACCAATTCCCGTGTGTTGCACTGCAGTAGATAGTCTCTTTCCACATGACAGAGTGGTGTGTTTGAAATGCTCCAGCCTCYCTAGGAGCTTTATTTGGGATAAGCAGAGGGTTTTCCACGGCTCTGCTTTATAGCACTGACCGTCAGGCCGTTGAGATTAAGCTGCTTCCAAAGCTTTTTGCGGCTGATCTTGTAGGTGGTTTGGCATGGCCTTGGAATTCTTAGTGAGTGGATGTTTTAAAATTCATCTGAAAAGGAAAATTCATCTTACAAAAAGGAAAAAAAAAAAGGAAAAATCGGGACGTAAATATACATAGTGTTAATTTGTGTGATTCATTTATAACAACTGTTGTATAGTTGTTGAATATTTAAAAGTAGAAAAAAAAAACAGTTAAAATATGTAACCACCCAGAAAATAATTCCACAAATAATAAAAGATAACTGGCAATGCAGGATGAGCTGCTTTCCCAACATTATTTCAGGGCCGAAATGTGCTGCGAGTTCCTTCCTGGACTCAGGTTCCCCACATGGAAGCTTTTCAGGAGCTGCTGACCACTGTTAATGCTCTGGCACCAGCACGAGATCCCCCTCCCCAGCCCTGCTCTCTTGGGGGACACAGTGGCCAAGTCCAAAGTGCCCTAGGGACATATTTATAGTGTTATCGCTAGTACCTCTGCCGTTACCTTTGCCTGCTCTTTATTTTTATTTCTTTATTTTTCATTGCTTTTTTCCTAGATTTTTTCTAATCTCCTGAGTCCTCGTTCATAGACGTACTGCGATTTTTAATAACACTTTCTATGTCTTTCCTGTTTTATTCATTAAGCAAAGCCCTCAGACATCATACTAGATTTCGTGCTGCCTCTACTGAAAGATGACCTTGAATCGGATTATCGCCTTTTTGCTCTGCTTTAAATTTAAATGCCAGTTGTTTAATTTACTCTCATGGTAGAAAGTGTTCCCGATGATATGCAATAAATCAGGTAGCTGTCAGAAACGAGCAGGTGGACGGGAATTGTTATTTTCTAATGGAGCCTCATACACTCCACCTTAAATCATTTGTTTTCCAAGTAGTCACATGATAAATAAAGACATAAATTCTTATATTTGTTTTAATGCRATATGAGGAAGGGGGAGCAGTTGTTGGGCAGTGTGAGAGTGGCTGCAGCGCGGGGCACGTTGCTGCCYTGGCCTGGCTGTGACGGCAGCAGCAGCTCCCTCGGGACCACGGGACAGCGCAGCGTGACGCTGAGCTCGTGGAGCACCTGCACTGGCACCGGCCTTCAGCAGCTCAGCTCCGCCTCGCCCGGTGCCTCATTTTAGTTAGCTAGTTATTCTGCTTTCGTGTCAAGCCATTGAAATAATGAATATTGGGTGCCTGCCTCGATTTTGGTAACAAAAGTATATTTAGGACCAAGCAAACCACCAATGAGGCGAAGGAGGCCTCTCTGAAACCAAAATGAGTTCTTTGGAGGAATTTTACTAACAGCAACAACAACAACAACAAAGTTGTAATTCTTCAAGTCTTTTAACTTCCCATTACAGTCAGGGTGGTTGTTTCAGTAGGGTATGGTGGGACTAGGACATACAAGAAGTGCATGTCCAAAAGGAGCATAAGGTCAGAAAAGACCTACCAGCTTAAACAAGCACGCAAGCAAACTACCAAAACTGCCCTCACCCGCAAAAGCAGCACTTTTAGTTTCTAGCATTAACACATTCCTGCTGGGAAGGGGTAGTTTTTAAAAATGAACCCTAGTTTGAAATAATCTGAAGATTATTTCAAGRTAAGTATATGTGCCTGATATACCAGGAAAAAAAACAACAAAATGAATCGGAGTTTTGAACCTTCAGTTCTTTAGATGTAGCCTTTTAAGTATAAACCAATATTAAATGTTCAAGACCTAGCATTTATTTTTTAATAGAGMCTTAGCAAAATCATGGAGAAAATATTTTTCAATAAGGTAATTTCCTGTTCACTAACAGTAAAAAAAAAAAAAAAAGGGGAAAAAAATAATGGTGTGAGTATTAAAACAGAAGTACGCGGGCCTTCTTTAAAAACGATATATTTCAAGACAATTTTTTTTCCTAATTTTGCTGCTCTACCCCTTCTGTGAACAGTGGTCTGAGTTCAATGTGAATTTGAATGAAGAACTCTATCTTCCAGTTCCATATGCATGTGTAGTGTATTTTTTCAAGTGTCTCATCTTTGTGGATGAATCAGGATCACCTTGAAATATCTGCCCTCGGAAATTATGATCTATTTTCTTTTCTCCTCTTGGCTGTAGAGCCACCGTTTTTGAGGCTGCAGATGCTGGGAAATTTTTGTTGGTTGGATCAAAACTTTGTGGCAATGAAGCAAGGCAGGTGTGTGCCTTGGTGAAGAACAGGTAACATAAGATGCATACGCAGGGTAGTAGAGAGACATGCTTTGAAAATGAATCTTTAATGACAAGTTATTAAGAGATGGAGAGTAAGAGTTCCCGCATCCACTCTGCTGTCAGAAAATATTTCTTTCGTCCAAGTGATAGAGCATAAAGGTTGCATACTTCTGGMTGCCAGTGTCTTAACTCTGGTCCCCATTCATAGTTTCTAATGTGAAGGCAGAAGTAATTTCATGGGTCCGTAACTTCTATTACYCTGAGGCCGGCACAGAGCTCTGCTGAACAGAGACTCAGAGTATATGCAGGGTGTGTATTCCATGGATCCAAATGAAGACGTTCGGGAGTGTGTAGATTTAATGTTGAATAGAAAATATAATCATATATTAATTTATGAACCATATTAGCTTAAGCTACCTTGGTTAATACATCATGGAATTAATAGGTGAATCATAGAATACTTTAGTAGGAATCATCTGGTTCAATTCCCTTTCAAAGCAACCTGAAGGACGAGATACARTAAATGAGTACTGTATAAATAAATGAGGACCTTTTTTTGAAAATCCTTGCTGGAAAAGAAGAGGTTCTCGCACACGAATGCCTAAGTCCTGTAAATTCACCAGCATGGTAGAATAAAATAGAAATGGACAATCAGAGTGTTGGGAGCTCCTGCTTTTCCAAGGGTTGCAGTAAGTTGTGCTGCTTAGTGCAGGAGAGGTAGGGCCACATGGTCACATTAGCAGGGCAAATGATGCAGGGGCTGAGGGGCAGAACCAAAGCATCAGTGCCCTGCAGTCCAGAGAGGGGGATTCAATGGGCAAATGAAGCCACAAGCAGCTCTGAAACTTCCCCTACAGAGTAAGAAGTTAATATGACACTGGGTCTACTTTTCATTGGGTTGTGTTTACCAGGGTTGAGATCAAAGCGGTTGTTTTCATATAAAAATGGCAAAATGTTTATTCCTAAATGCTTGTTGACAAATTACCTAAATTGTTTTGCTTTTGCAAAACTGTTCTGAGCCAGAAATTAGAGAAGAAATTTTAATTCCAGACTAGGCATCTGGTCTAGAATGCTAATCGAGTGGGATCTTTAGCCTGTTTTATCTGACAGCTTCTGTACTATTTTGCAGATTGAAATAAGGGGATGTGGGACATTATAAAGTTGAAAGGATTTTATTAGCATGCATGTCGAAAAGTATTAATATATGTCCCTGAGAAACAAAAGAGGMTATAGAAAAAGAAGCGAGTGTGCTCACAACTACAGAAATAGTACACATTTGTCTTAGAAGCTGAATTACATTATTTTTAATGTCTGTTTTTCTTTTCCAGAATGACAAATCCCCAGGGCGCTCCACAAGTAGATCAAGTAACATTTCAAAGGTATGTGGAATACTTAGGTACTGACTATTATATACTAACTAGTAATTGCTATATGCATCTTCAATTAACAGTTTCTAAAATCTAATGTTTCCTAGAGTGGAAAAATAAATCAAAGCTTAAATTTTGCAATTTGCTTTTGATATTCAAGGACAATGCAGAAATTTGCTTCAAGAATGAACTACTTTAGATAAATGGGAAAAGTTGCAATACTTAGGTGTGACCTCAATAAATAATTATGTGCAAAGTCCTCTGTAACACATGGATGCAAATGCACTGGCTGCCAAAGTACAGCTCTTCATGTGTGATTATAAAATTAGGCAAACTGGAATATTTTCAAGTTGTTTTCACCCACTGGATATGTTCTGTGTTGAGGATACATGAGCAGGAAGGCAAACGAGCACAAGGCACCAGGGCCCCATGCAGWCACTAGCCAGGCCCTCCTGTCCCCTGCCCTGCTGGAGCTGGCAATAAAGGGCCACATTTGGGATGTTTAGGATTGATCTGCATTTCATGTCATGGCACAGCGTTTTGTTTGTTTTGAATCGAGTCTTATTTAAAATATATGCAAGGCTTTGCTGGTTGGCTATTTGCCCCTGGTTATTTCCCTGCACTGTGTCATTTCTCAGTAAATGTTCAATGTCTTCCTAAATAATATGAATAATTTAAGGAGAGGGCTGGTCCGATAAGGATCCGGTGGATTCATTTCTTTCCACTGTGGTTAGCAGTGGAACAAATGTTGTGTTTGAAACAGAGCCCAGGGGGGCTTTGCTTATGTGGGTTCCTGAGCCTGCCTGGTTATGCTAAAGCTTTCTGGAGGAAACATTCCTAGTGCGTTATAATTATCTTTCTGTGCGTTAATTATGATTCAAGAGCAACTTGGAGAAGGAGGCTCTCCCGGYAGTGAGATTTGAAATTCTCTGAAGGGAAGTTTGGGCTTATTTTCTAGGGAAGAGAATTCAAGCTTGAAGCAAATTACTTGATTTTTTTTTCTTTTTTTTTTTATTGGCTCAATTGCTTCTCAGCAGCCTGGAGCTGGTGTTAGAGCACTTCTTATTTATGTGTCTGCAGAGCATCTATCTAATAAAATTCAGCTGAATTACATCAGGAAGAAGCGAGTTGATCGTTTTGAAGCACTCAGTATTATATTCACAAGTTTAATTTAGAATATGAAGGAATAGTGAATTTTGGTGTATATTTTTTCCCCCAGCTGAGTCTATTTCTTTGTTGTTTTCTTCTCTGAGGTCAGACTCCTCTCAATAAGCTATACATTAAAACCAAAAGGCACCAGCATGTCCAACAAGTACTTGCTAAAGATTTAGATAAAATACTTATGCCAAATTTACTGATTGTTGAAGTACTCAATTTGAGATTTTGAATTAGCTACTGTTTTGAAGGAATATTTGAAATGACCAATGATGCAGTTAGGCATCTAGTAGGTTTCTGGTAAAACATTAAGTTTTTGTGATTATGATGCAGAATTCATATTATTTGAATGATGTACCTATTATTTCATCAATATGAATTAAAGTATAAAATCTTATTTCATCTCTTCCATTAAAATGGAATATATTTTCACATGGGTTTTCATATTCTTKAATTTTTATCTGGCAGTGTGAGGTGAATGTGTGACGAGTACAGTATCACAKTTGGGGTGATTTGCACAACATGAACCGCTTTTGTTGTTGCATGCTCTGTATTTTTAAGGGGTAAGCCCCATCTCTGGCAGTGACACCAATGCAGAAGGCATAGGACTTTGTACCTGAATTATAATGAGTACCTATTATGTGTTTTATAGGGGAAGAAGCATGAAAAAAAGAAGTTTGATAACCTGGTATAGGGTTGCTGTGTATATGCTGCATATGTCCCTGTTAGCTGTTGCATGGCTGAGTCCTAAAAAGCAAGGAAAATTGTTTGCCCCCCTTGCTCCTGGTACAGGGGCTTGTGCAGCCGCGTGCTCTCCATGTATTACCTGTACCACCTGTTGCCAGTCTCACACTAACCACCATGGATGGATTGTGATTCTCTTCCAGATGGCTCTGCTGTTCTTTTTCCAAGTTCCTTTCTTTCAGAGCGTGACTCCTCATTGGCTGTAATGGGCTTTGCTTAAAAAAATCTAAATATAATGCTGTATCTCATCAGAACCGAAACGTAGAGCTTTCAAAGAAGACTAAAAGACAAGAACAAACAAGATGTTAGTCTTGTAAAGTGTAAAATGCMAGTCTTCAACAGCACTGTTACAGTGAATAATATCACGTATACAAAGCCAGCATTAAAATTTCAGTGTAAATGTTGTCTTAGTCATCTGAATGATGCCTCTTGCTCATAAACAGAATCATTAATATCAAAGGTGAAGACTAACCTAGCACTTAACTCTCATTATGGTTCTATTGCTGCAAAACAACAACAAAAAAAACCCCAACAGTACAAAGTAAACAAGTAGGTAGAAAAATATTTTGTTCATCAAAGCATAAAATAGAGAAAGGCAAAAGCTAGAACTAAACATGGTGGTAGAAAAAATATTGTTTTCTTTTCTTAGATGTAAATGCCTAGTTTCTTTGTTCAGAAAGATAATACCTTCTGGTTGCCCATATAATTTATTCTTTATCTGAATAAAAGTGTAATTAAGGCTGATGCTTTCCATAAATCTTGTGATTCTGASCAGCCAGGAGGTTTAGAAGAGGATATTGAGAGCAGGTCTCCTGCTTAGCTTGGTGCCGCCTCGAGATCAATCATGTGCAGACTGCTCTGATCTCGTCCTAGCTGCTCCTGGCCCTGCCGCTATTTTAATGGGCTCCGGAGCRGCAGCGGCTGGTGGGATCGGGAGGCGTCTGGGCTGTCCCACAGCTCTGAAGCAAAAAGCTTCACCAAAGCAGATCCGAAGGATTCCTCGGACTGCCTGGCCTCCCTCCYGGGCTTCCGTGTCGCTCCGAGCGCTGGGCCCTGCGGAGCGGCTTTCCGGACACGGGCACTGCAGGGCTCAGCTGCTCTCCGTGAGGCCGTTCGCTTGCCTTACATCTGCCTTGTTGCTTTAAACCTGTAAGCTCCRTTCAGATGTGAGCCGTTGGCATGTGGGAAACAGGCTTTTAATGAGCGTTTGTCTTGGATAAAGTCCTTCTTTTCTCTTAAAAAGAAGACAGATTGACTCATCCTGGTGGAGTCGCTGGCGCATGGGGTGTTAGGCAATAGCTGGGCAGAGATGATTCATGGTTTTTGTTGTCACCTAGAAAATCCTGTCAAAATGTCAACCTCAAATTAAAGTGAGAATTAAATGTAGATAGGAAATGGTTATTTTCTTTGCGAGTTTTGCTCCCTTCAGCCCCGGCTKCTGTCCTTGGCGCAGCCTGCACGGCGACACGGGCGCGCGGTAGCAGTGGCCCCTTGGCAGCCCAGGGATCTTCTGGGCTGTCCTGACACCTCTGTGCTCAGCAGGACCCTGCCTGGGAAGCACGCTCTCCCTCCCACGGAACATACCGAAAGTAATTAGGAAAAACATACCCWGACATGGCTGCTAATTGAATTGCGTATCCTTGATGAGACGGCTCATTTAAAGYGGCCAAGACAGCAGAGGGTGGCAACTAGGGAATCCAGACTAACGTTGCTTTTGAAATGCCAGACTTAATCAGCTGGAGCTGGCATTAGCCCTCAAGCATCTTCCTCGTGTCGATGTCACGGCAAAATGAGCTGCCTGGCTCATAAACGGATTGTCAGGCAACTTTATTTGGAATTACCATGTTTAATTATGCTACTGATATAATTTGCTGTGAGAAAATTAGTGCAGCTCTTGTTTGGTTTTCTGATTTCAGCGAGTCGTGCGCTCCAGATGTTTGAAACAGATTCCCATTCAGGGAAGAATATTTTTTTAAATAAGTCATTACTCAGCATGCCAAGTGGAACTGGGGTCCCCAGAATCAAAATGGTTTCCCCCATTCAAGAAGTGCAGGACCTCAAACACCCAGTGAGTTAAGCAGGGTGTTACAGCAACAAGATCTCTGTGCTTGAGACTGCTGCTGGCATCTCTTGTATGCACGGTCCCACAAGAGCTTGTTATCTGGGTTGATAAGCTACGAGCAGAATATAGGCCAGTCATGATGCTTTGGGTTTGCCAGAGRTGCCTATAAAACAAATTTGCCGCAAATGACAGGGTTTGGTGTTTTGTTTCTCAAGCAAGCAATGCAGATGATGAAAAGCCTTGGTGGCCTCCGTGCTTCTCCGTGCCTCTCTCCCCGAGTTAGGCGGGAGTTTAGCCGTTCGGGAGCTGTCTTGGCTGGCGCTGGGRGTGCCTGTGTTGGAGTGGCACGCGCTCCCGGCGTCGCGCTGGCTCTTGGCRATCCCTCTGCTCCGGGTTAAGCTGCAGAGGTGACACCACGTTTCATGCACAGTAAGAAGTGTGTGTAAGCAGCTCCGGGGAGGCAGCCTCGAGTGCCCGTGCAGCCCGTGGGCTGCACGGGATACAATGTTCAATGGGCTCAACCTGCATCAGGCACAAAAAGTCTCTTCTTTCTATCCATAGGTAAACAGTAGAGAAGGAGTGTCAGCAGCGTAAAATGAGCATCAGAAGCACTAACTTCTTTCTTTCTAGAACCCGCTCCATCTGTTCACCTCACCACTAAAAGCTATCTAAAAGTAGTTAACAGAATTTAAAAGTTGCAGAAACTTTTTGCATGAAATGACATCAGAGATGCGAATGTGACTCATCTGGATGGAACTTGGGCTRCTGGGAATTTCTTGCTTGGATTTTGAGGATTTAACTGGCTTTGTGTCTACCTGGATAGGAAATGTGCCCCAATATGGATTATACAAACCRAAAAATAAAACAATGGGAGTGGTTTCAGCAGACAATGAACCTTCTCCTGAGGTAATTGCAGCTCAGGATACTATTAGCGTTATGTGGGTGCAGGAGGACTAGGAAGTGAATTGGACTGAAGAGGGCTGAAATACTCCAGGCGTCTTTACAGCTGAGAGAGATACACAAGACACAAGCAACTGAATGCGTAATGGTTTTTTTATCTGAAAATAATTAGATTTCGCTCTGTCTCCAACCCCAAGCAGTAAGTGTTAAAAGCTTTTCCGATGATTTATTTTTATCTTGACTCGATTCCAGCGCTCTCAAGACTTGTCCAGGTCCCTTCCTGTTCTTAAAGCCATAAAAAGTGGAAGTCCCTTGAGTCTGCGCGGAGCGACCGCGCGCCCTACTTCAAAGGCAGTGGTGGGGCAGGGGCTGCAACCTTCACTTCATGCCATGGGGCAGAGGCTGCAACCTTCACTTCGTGCCTTCACGGAGGCACCTGAGCACCGCTGCAGATCAGGCCAGGCCCGTGGGGCACCCAGCCCCGCACAGAAGAACCGTGCAGTCCTGCAACTGCAAGGCCCAGGGGGAAATAAATGAATAAGGAAGGGAGGAACTAGGCACGAGGGGTGAATTTGATGGACTTTGTCCAGCTCTAGGACAGGGTTTCTTCAGCAGCCCTGCATCTGCTGGAGGCTGGAGATGCAGCCCCACGACCTGGGGCTGGTGCTGAGCGTAAGGGTTATGCACAATTGCTTTTTTAGTTTCATTTCTTGGGTTAGCTGGATTCCCGTAGTGTCAAGTTTCATTTGCTGAGACTAGTACTAAACATATAAGTTTACAAGTACAAAAAGTTTTGGTGTTGCAATGTACCAAACTGAGAGGGAGAAAGTGGTGCTCGAGTTCCCAAAGTCAACAGATACCGATGCAAAAGGACCTTTTCCAAATCTCAGCTGATCTCCCATTAAAAACAAGAATACACCTGGCATTGACGAATGGTGCCAGAGGATCTGGGCATGAAATAGAGTAGATAAATGAGGAACCTTGAATTAAAATAATGTGTCAGGAGGTGGTGGCTGCATTTGCCTGTTTTTGCTTGTGCTGTTAATTCTTAATTTCCATGCTGACACCACAAAAATCTCTGTGAAAGGTGAGCTGGAATAATTATGGACTCTACATAGAGCTTGATTTGATTTTTTTAGTACAAAAGGTTGRGATGACAACCTTTGCATTATTTGTGCTTTGTATCTTTGTACTGCAAGTAWCTTGTAAACTGCCTTGAATTATGATGAATTCTTCCCTTGCATTTGGTCTGTGTGCTGTGAAGCTCTTAAGCTTATAGTATTTTGCCTCCATTTGGTGTAGCAGTGAGCACGGAGTTGCATGCCAGGACACAAGCTAAAGGCAGGTCAAAGTCTTAAGGACAGTATTTATTGAGCCCTCACCCCACAGATGTGACACACAGCTCCAGAGTGATCCTGGAGAGCTGGAATTTGGATTCCTCAGGGCTCTGCTGCCAGKAGCACGTGAGGCAGATAGAAATGGTTTGTTGCTAACAGCATCCACGTGTGTTTTAGTGGAAGTATCGAGCAACGGAGTTTATGGTTTACAACAACTGCCTTAGGAGCAAATGTCACACACTGAACGTGGGTTTTTTTTCCCCTCATCTCCTGAGTGAGGATGTGTTCAGCTCTGTGGAGCTGCAGCCAGGCAGGGTCGTCTCAGGCTCATCAATTTCTCATTTTTTGAGCTCTTCCAGCTGATCTGATTGTCTTGAAAACCTTTTAAAACCTACTTTAATTTTCTCAGTGTTCTGCCAGCCCGCTCCAGGTAGCTTTGCTTTGTGCTCATCATCACTCAGCATAATGTAAATGCACTTCACCTCGCTGTGAAAAGAGTTTGTTTTGCCCAATACAAAAACATCCCTTCCCATCAGACCCTTGCAGCAGATCACAACCAAATGCAACTTCGAATGCCGAAAGCTGCTTCCTCAAACAACGAGATAAAAAGCAGTCGTGAGCAAACGAAAGCTGTGTTAAGTCATATTTGGTTCCACAAATAGGTTTTGCTTTTGGTTAGGCTTCCTGTATTTTACGGGCTTGCGTGTCTTCAAGAGCATGCTATGAACAGCCACAGTAGTTGTTTTAATTTTCTAATCATGTGGCAAAGCAGTAAAATATCTGCAATGTATTTCTTGGACAAAGATTCCAAACTGTCTAACTTATTCCAACAGGCAAGCAGTCCTACAACAGGAACAGCTCCCAGGAGTCAGTCACGACTGTCTGTCTGCCCTTCCACTCAGGACATTTGTAGGTATGTGCCGAGAGCAAAACTCTGTAACCTGTCGGATATCTGTTAGTTGTTTGTTGCCTTTTTTAGATAATACGTAGCTCTTGCTTCTGCTTAACGCTATTCATAATTCACCCAGATTTTAGTTTTATTTTCATTTGTATTTTGGTTCTGGTTTTGTTTTTCTGTTAAATTTTACGTTCTCATTTTCATCCTTCTTTTTTTTGTGTGTGATCTCTCTTTTTCCCTTCCCACCTACCCTTACCATTTCCATCCCTTTCTTTTGCTTACTGCTCTGTCCAGATCTACCACATTGCATGATTTGTCAGAAGATGAGCTTGAACATGCAACCCCTGTTTCTGTGCTGAGCCCTTCTAATAGGGAACCTGGTAAGAAACAAGTAAAGCGAAGGTTTAGGCGGAGGAAAGAGCCCGGAGGCAATGGTGAGCATACAGAAAAGCAAGGAAAGGGGAAGGACTGTAAATTGCATCCCGAGGCTGCAAGATCCAAGTGGATTGCACCTGATTCGTCGTCATCTTCGGATGAGAGTCAGTGGGCTCAGATTAGGAGGAGAGCAAGAGACAAAGTCAAAATGCCCCGGAGGAGGAGGAGGAATAGATCGTGCAGTACCCAGGATGGCTCCTCGCGCAGCACCGCGGTTGAACTTGTCCCCCTGGGCGCGGCGGGCAAAAAGAAGCAAGAGGCGCCTGACGCAGAGCAGCCTGCTCTGAACCACCGCAGGAGGAGGCTCCAGAGGCCCAAGGAAACCCTGTCTTCAGCATCGTCTCAGGAAGCGAGGATTTCCTCCAGAAAACGTGGGCAAAGCCAAGGGCAGAGCCGCGGGCGCGGCGAGGCCTGGCGGGCCGGCGCTGCCGAGAGCAGCTCCGGCAGCGTCGCCGCCGCCGGGGCCCCGCACGCGGCTCCCGCCTYGGGCCGGGACTGGTCGGACGATGTAGAGGTGTGCAGGTTAGTCCCGCAAGCAGGACCGAGTGTTCCCCACAGGGGCTGCTTCTGTCATGGCTCCTCTGTAACAAACTGCTAGAGAGGCCCCAGGAACAAACCCAAAGTATTTGCTACAGAGAGATCGTGGTATCTCCACCTCAAGATATATTTCTCTTCGTTAAAAAGACTAGTCTGGGAAGGGGGCCTAGGGGGCTAGGCTGTTCTTCGTGACGATAGACACTCTATGCACTCCATCAGGATATCACTGTTTCAAATCTCCAAGCAGAGCCCAGAGAGTGAGGCAGGAGACCCAGCAGCTAATGGGATACAGAGGTTTTCACTCTTGCACAATCAATTCAAATCCAGCTTTGGTCTCTCTCCGTCATTTGCTCTTGATTTACATGAAGTAAATTTATGGTCTTCATTCGGTGTCTTCTAGAGTTGCCATTACCACCAAAATCTGATGGATGGTCTTTCCCCTCTTTCCAGTGAGGCATAAATTGCACAGAGCTTTGCACTGCTCCATCACATGGATGTGTAGAGGCTGTTAACCTGGTACCCGTCATGACAATGGTAAAAATACCACAGCAAGTTTTGGCAGAATAAGTATTGAAGAAGTTYAGAGAAGGGGAAAAAAGCATCTCTCTAGCCCCGAAGGAAACTGGCCTCTGACACCTAAGGTCTTTGTGTTTAAGTGTGTAACCAAACGGAGAGCATCTTCCCCTGAAAATGAGGGCAATGCTGGCACTTCTGAGCTAATGTGTGAACTTGGTRTAGAGAACTGAAGGGGGCTTGAGTCACTTGATTTAGTAATATCATAGGACTTGAGTCGCTTGATTTAGTAATATCTTGAGAACGCACCATCCAGTAAGCTTAACAGAACTGAAACAAGTATTTCTTTTTTTAAACACTAGTGTGCCAGAATTGACTGTCATTTACCAAGTACAAATGAGGATCAGGCACAGTTTCTTGGTGCAGCAACAGAAAACTTCTCACATTTTGCTGGGAAGAAATTTGCATGGAARTGTAAACAGAGGCAGGAGGAGGAAGTTGGCGGCACCGCAGCGAGCAGTTTCACAGTGCGCTCCAACCTAGGAGCACGCTGCAAAGATCCAAAATTTTTTTAAAAAAAGAAGGTATCGTGCAGGCCTTTACATAGCAGGAGATGCAAGATATTTTGCTAATGCTACTGCTATACACTCCTTAATTACATTTATCAGATAAGAATGACCATTTCAGGCATGTGCCCACTGTCTGTTGTCGTGAGTTYGGAGCAAGGTCCACCCGTGTTTGTCATCAGCTTGCACAGAAATGCAAAGAGCAGCAGCAAGGATAACTATGATTTCTATTTTTGCAGCATTTGAAGTATATCTGCAGGGTTGCATGCAGACACAACTGAGCGCAATCTTCAGAGCTCTCTTAAAATTTAGGGTCACTGGGCCTGTATATAGACATTACATATTCACTGTAGTAGGCASAATGCATTTAATAGGGCTGTTTCCTTATTATTAACTCAAAAACTGAAGTAAGTTATTTCAGTATAGGGCTTAGCTGTACTGGGTTAAAAAAGAGAAGTTAAAGTTTTATTAGTGTCTCATGTACATTAACCCTAACTGCTGCCCAAGTCCTGAAACTCGGTGGAAAACAGACTCCGGTCTATTTTATGTATTCTTAATCCATTCAGTTTTACCGTGATTATTCAGGCTTTCTTGGCAAGACTAGGAGCTTCTTGGGATGGAAAATTTTTGGACCTGCATCTAACTTTGTAGCTAGGCTTCTGTTTCCTAGAAAAAAGATCAACGGGTTTTGTATGGGTATGTCCCAGACTCGGTGGAGAGGCTCTAAGAGCTAAATTCAGTGCAGCTGATCGTTTGGCCTATTGTGCACAGTTTGTCAAGAGTCATCATTTCACTGTGCTTCCTTCTCAGGGGTAGTGCTATATTTCTTGTGGCCATTGCTAGCTGTATCACAGCTCATGATAACACATTTAGGAAAACTGTTAAAAAAAATCTTATTTCAGTCTATCTTTGAATATAGATGAGTGTAGATGATGAATAGCTGATGAATATAGATGAATATTCTATGAATATAGGATCTATACTTGAGCTGCTTTCTTGTTACCAGCATTTTCCAATATCTTATTTTTCATAGCTGAGAAGTTCTCTTTCTTAATCTCTTTGCAGACATTTGGATAAAAAGGAAGAGCTGTGTAAGTTGTTACTACCCATTCAGCATAGACTGTAGTTTCTGTTGGTCGGGACAGATCCATGCATTTGACTGGCACATGATSTGGAACTTTTTTTTTCTTCAGATTGTTTCAATAGAGGAAATCTTGTTTCCTCTATTGAAATCAAATTCCCTTTTTTTTCCTTTCTCTTTCAGAAGGGTGCACACATACAGCAACCATTTTTCTTCATGAAAAACCTGACTTTCCTTCTGTGATATGTTTGTTCCAGCACTAGAGTTAGCAGAGCAGATTGTGATGTGGAAATTTTCTTCAAGGGGTGTTTCTTCACACTTTTCACCATAGGCAGTGGTTCCTTTTGGTTGATGYCACAAAACTAGCTGAGCTGAATGGCCGTCACGTAGACGGGATTGCGCAGGGACACCAGAGGAACAGGGATCTAGAACTCTCCTTGGTGCCCGTTCTTTCATGTCGGCGCTTCCCCTTTCATTTTTGTGTGTTTGGACAGGCAGTTGTTGTTCTTTACTTCAAGTAAACCCTATATGAAGTGCACAGAGTCCAGAAAAAATGCATGATGGAGAAGGCAAGGTGTCTGGTCCTGTAGATACGGAGAGCTGCTGAAGTTCTGGCAGTGCTGAGGTGGTGTTAGGGCACCCAAACTTCCTGACCTTCATGGAGCAGGCTTGGTRACGCACACAGGTGCAATCCCCCTTCCCCTAAGCCGCCCCTTGCCTGAGGGTTTCCTCATAAATACTTAATTCTCCAACCTGCCAAGTCACAAGGTCCGTGAGGAACAACTCCAGAAATGCCTTTCTCTGATCTGCACCACTGTAGTCTCCCTAGAGGGAGAAGTTATGTATTATAAAGTGAGCGAATTGTGAGAATACAGCTCCATGTTTTTTGGAAAGAAGAAAAAAAGAGTCAGTATTATYACTAATATCTAATATACCACAAGTTTCTCATTTGTTCACTCTGAATTAATGTTGTTATATATTTATTTAAAATATTTATTATAGAACAATTGAAATATATTTTTGGTTTGACTAGTTATGTTTTTGGTCTTAAATGTTTTTGTAGCACTGATCCAGGTATTTCAGTGATAATGCTGAACTGTAATTAGTTGAAGTGGAATTCATTACAGTGAAAGAAACCACCTGCATTTAAGTAAGACAGAGTTTTTCATGTGATAAAAGGCACATCAGAAGTAATTGTTTTCCCTGAACTCCACAAATGGATCTTTATATAGTCAGGTAAATGAAGGCTCCCATTTGAGGAGTAAATACAAGATGTGCCAGAGCAGTRGGAGGAGAATGGGAAAGGGTAGGAATTGAGCCCTCACATAACCCCTCATGCTGAAACTGTGAAGCTTGCATCAGTAAATGAAGTGTGATGGACGTGGCCTCCTCACCCTCTTGTTTCAAAGAACTGCCTTTGCAGCTGACTTTTCTCTGTAAACCCTTCTTTTTTAAAAAGATTTGTTGGATAGTGACTGTGTCCTCCTGTAGATGGTGGCCTGGCGGTTCCTCATCCTTTGAAGCAGTATGAGGTCCTGGTTAGTTCTACCAAGTCAAAGCCCCATGTGTCACCTCGTCAGGCATCTGGTGGAGCAGCCCCTTTTGGGAGCTGCCTATGGCTTGGAAGGATGTGAGGAAAGCAGAGGAAGGCAGAGGTGTCTGCCCTGGTTGGGGTCATGAGCATCGCGCCCCAAACCTGCTATTCTGTCTAACATCTGCATATAGGTGCTTATCTAACATCTGCTCAATGCAAATAGGTGAAGGAGCAACACTTTCTCCTAGAAAGTTTGGGTGAGAAGAAGCACTCAGTTTTATAGGTCCCATTATTCAAAACTTAAAGCTTGCTTATATTCTATAGGGAGTCTTGTTATTTAAAGCTGTGACTTTCACTAGCTGACTTGAAGGAAACCTATATTMATTTTTAAGTTGTAGTCCTGAGTTCTTTCATGCTGTGTTTAGTGCCTGGCACCTGTTTTGAGGAGCCCTGACGCTGCAGCTGGGCTAGGAATTACTCATAGCTCTTTGCATGGTTAGACATGCCATTAATCGCCTCTAATGGAAGATTAATAGAAGGACGAGGAATGGGAACGAAATAAATGATTTCAGGTGGTTTTGCTCATGTAGCTTGTTCTTGGGTCTCTTATAAAACCTGATCACGTTTACAGAAATCAAGAGAAAGCTTCACCCAGACTGTTAGGAAATTATGCTGGTGTGGTGCAACATTTTGAAAATGTGTTTTTCTCTCGTCAGATAAAGGCAGCTGACTGTATAGCATAATGGGAGGGCAGGAGTGACAGGGAAGAGGTATACAAATTGATTACATTCAGTATGCAGAATTAATGTGCTTCATTCACACGGCGTTTAAACGGGGAGGAAGCCCAATTTGCCATCTAGATTATTTTATGATTTAACAGTAGGAAAAAAAATGGAAAACAAGATCAAAAAACAAGCCTGCAAAATGGAAGCTAGAGAAACAGCCTGCTGTAGCCTGGTGCTGGCTGAACATACCTAGAAAATTGAACTGTTTTTTTTTTTCCCAATGAATTATGCTGTAACAATGCTTTATATTTTTTTTTATTGTGAGTTTTCATGATTTGTTTGCTCTAACTCTAGGTTCTCTCTGTGGTTCCTAACCAAACCACTGTAGAAATCAGCAGAAAGTGAGAACATCCTTTTTTTTTTGGACTAGAAAACAGTTTTCTGCAGATGCTCAGGCAGTACCCAAAGCAGCTTGTGGAGCAACTTGTGGATTCCTTTTCTGTTGGTGCACTCAGAACAGCCTGGGGGCTCCCTGCACCCTGTGCTGGCGGCCGCGGGTCCTCACAGCCGAACACGGAGCGGGACCCTCGCTTGATGCCTTGAAGCCTCGGCTCCTCGCTAATAATTATTATTATTAGTCATATCTRTTAAGAGATTGAAAGCATTTCTGTTCCATCCCCAGGAAAATGGGACTGTGGGTGTTGGGTATCAGCCTTGGCTTCTTGTTGTGGCCGGGGTGTTGCAGTACGCAGAGAGTGTCAGTAAGCACGTGACTGTCACAGGGCAGGAGGAGCTCCTCCTAATTTAGTCAGCAAAGTCAGCCATAAATGCTCTAGTTCAGAGAACAATCTTGCTTTGAAGCACATCTCACATTCACCTCCAATTCTACCACGTTCTGGTCCTTTATTAAGGACTRGGCTCAAACTACACTCCCTTTGAGGGAAACGAGGCTGAAAGAGGTACTTAGGATCCAGCTGCAAATCAGCACTGGGRCCCCAGACCCAGTGCAAAGAGCAGCCTTTGCTCTAGGCCACAGCAGCTCCAAGGAAAACACACATGATGCGGATACCAGGCTGTCCTGAAAGATTTGCTGCATGTGCACTGCACTGCTTGTTAATGCAGATAGAGCTGTGCAGCACCCAGAAATATTAGAAAAATTTTATTTTTTCTCCGAAGGGCTTTGTTACTTTGCTAATTTATTGCATTGTAAATGATGAAAGTTTTTTGTCAGAGAAATGCTCAGCACTTGCATAAATTCCTCCTTTCCTCCACAAATCTGTGTGCTGAAGGTTACAGGAACAACTCTGGGCTAAAGAAATATGTAACTGTGTAATAAAACAGTCTTGCAAAGCAGAAACATAGGCATAACAATGACTGTACATTGTTAGAGTATTATTTCATAACACTTCACAGTGAGCTTCTTTAAAGAGAAGATACTCATTCTGTAATGTCTGTGTGTAGGTGTGTATCTATACAGACACACACACACACACACAGAGCTTATGTATATCTGACTCAGAAGTCCATCGAACGCCTTATAAATTCTCTTGTCAGCAGTAAACACAATTCATAGAAGCAAAACCTGCTCTGAAGCTTGGCCCGAGCGCAGTCGTGGCCTCATCTGAAACTGCAGCCGTTAACYAGGATCAGTGCTACAGCTTGTAAATGAATCAGTTTGTGTTTAGCTTTGTTTGTGTTACAGTGAAGAGGAATTTTCTTTATTTTTTTCATATTGAACTTGGTTCAAGTGTAGATGAGATTTTTTTTTTCTGAAAACGTTATTCACAGGGTGAAATCAGTCCTGTAAAATGTCGGTCAGAGGTCTGAAACTTTTGAACGAATGTGATCATCTCAAAACAGGAGACTGAGTTATCACAAGTTATCTGGCCCAAATCCTTAAAGGGTATTTAAGTCATTAGCCTACGGCCCACAGCGATGGATGCCTAAATTAGCTGCCTAAAATATCTTTAAAGACTCTGACTGTGCATTTATGTAGCACCAAATTTTTAAGCTAATTTGTGCTGAATAAAGAGATTATAAAGAAGTAAGGTGCCCCAAAGAGCATTTGAGCTAATGAGAACTATGCCTCTAGTCATTCTGTCTGTATTTTAATTTCATTTCATACTTGATTTTATTCTCGTTACGTACTTCATGACAGAAAGCGAGAGGAAGCCGATGGATTAGGTATCACCCTCTGGTTTATGCATGGAGCCAGTAATTCCCATACAGCGAAAGCACAAATGGAACAAACGATTCGTATAGTGTATTTTTGTAAAAGTATTTCTACTTCTACTATAGAATAAGAATACTTCTATTCCTTTCAAATCTGCGATGTCACTTCATTTGAAGATCCCAGGGGAGTCTTAGGCTTGTGTTTTAGCTCTTCTAACCATGTAAAACAATTCTGACAGTAGTAGAAAAAAGACTCTTGGGTACCCAGCTTAGTTGTCTTAATTTCTAAATAGCTTAAATGCCAAATAAAGCCTGTAAAAAAATGCCCTATATATAGCTTGGTTTAAAATGAACAAAGACTACTAGTTTTCCTTTGGGAAACATCTTTAATTTAAAGAGAAAATGACTTTTTTTTAATGTAACTCTCAAATGGGGATGCATGTATTGGAAAAAGAGCTATTTACTCAGTGTTTTGAAAATGCAGTTCTCCTTAAGGTCAATAATTCCATGTAGGAATGAGGCTGTTGGGCATCTAGCTGGGCTGAGTTGGCAAAGGGAAGGGTGGATGTGGAGCAGAGCCCACCCTATGGGCCGAGCTGGGATCTTGGGATGTGTGACACGCGGATCGGGGCTGCCGTGGGGACTGCTCCCCTTCGGGCGCCCGGTCTCCTGCTCCGGCTTCCCGGCCACCCCTGCCTTGCCAGCAGCACGGTGGGGTTCGGTTGGGTTCTCGTTGGGTTCTCGTTGGCTTTCGCATGAAAAGCTCTGTATCCCATTGCAAGGCCACAAGTGCTGGGGGAGCAGCCTCTGCTCCAGGCTCTGCTTTGAGCTGCAGTTTTGCCTTCCCAGCGAAGGCAGCTGTTGCTTCCAAAGGACATGGAGACTGAGGAAGAGGAAGGACCGTGGCTTTTTAACTCCTGCCTCCCCAGACGTGTGTGCGTGTGTGTGCAGGCTGTGCTAAGCACATTACCCTAGAGGAGGCAGGCTTTTAATGACAGAGCCCCAAAGAGCTATCTTAGGAGGGTTTTGTACATTTTCCAATGGATATTTGTACTTTGTGGATACAGTCTGCTAATTGCCTATTTTTTATTGAAATTACTTACAGACCAAGAGCTGTTCAACACTTAACTATACCAAAGAGCACAGATTTGTGTCTTKAAGGTTTTGTCATGCATGTAAGGGAAAACCAGTCTTATTTCTGTCCATTCACCTTTAGACCGCATAGCAGATTGACAGAGAAATAACGAGGAGAAATTGCTGAGTGGCAGAAAGGAACAAGGAATATGTTCCGCACCTCGGTCTAAAAGGTCATGTACTTTTACAAGTAGCAAAGGTGTAAAAGCAAAAGCAGACAGGGCCGGGCCCCCGCCTGCCTCCCTGGAAAGCTCCTTGAGCGGCTGTTGCTGTCGCCCCCGCAGGATCTGCCACTGCGAGGGCGACGACGAGAGCCCGCTGATCACGCCGTGCCGCTGCACGGGCACGCTGCGCTTCGTGCACCAGGCCTGCCTGCACCAGTGGATCAAGAGCTCGGACACGCGCTGCTGCGAGCTCTGCAAGTACGACTTCATCATGGAGACCAAGCTGAAGCCGCTGCGGAAGGTACGGCCGCCCCGCGCTGACGCCCCTGAGCGAGCCGGCCCCGGGGCTGGCCTCTGCACCCCCGCACCCTGCTCTTCCTCTTGCAGAAATGTGATTGCAGAAAGAGCAGGTTTCTGTGYTTGAAAGTTTTGCCTTCTCTGCTTTGCAAGGGGCTGCTTCTCTTAGTTTCAAGCCAGAAGGAAATCTTGCTCGTTGCGTTTTGCTCCTCAGCGGGCAGAGCACACAGCAGTCCTTACCCCGAGCCCGTAGCGCAGCGGTGCTGATGGCAGTGATGCCTACGCCGACGTGGGGATGGCAGCTGTGAAACAGTGCAGTCGGTTTAGAGGTATCTGTCCTAGCTCTGACACTTACAGGCAAATTAATCACTCGTGTATCGAGGTAAGTTAATGGAATCCAAACTGCGGGGTGACCGAGCGTCCTGAAAGTCAAATATATACTGTCTGTGCTCAACTGTTTTCCAGAATAAATCAGTTTAATGGCCCATGGGTTGTCAGGGGAGGGAAGATGAAGAATTTCTTAAATGTGGGGTTTGTTTTCTTCAGAGTGAATAATTCCTTTGGTAGATTTTCTCTGATAAATCATTCTCATCTTGTTCAGATGTTGTTGCATCTTTTAAGTTTTAATCAATCTAGAACATGACAAATTTGATTTAAAGTACATTTCAATACGAGATGTCTTGAAAAGCATGTACAAACTATCAACTTACAACTAGTAGATTTATTTTCTATGCACGTGCAATGTGCAGTAGTGCTTTGATGGCCAAAAGGCGTTGTGTTTTGTCAGCCTTGCGTAGGTAGCAGCTCGGGGAAGGGAGAGCAAATGGCTCTTCCCATTTCTCACCCAGAGAAATGCCTAGGGAGGGCTCTGGCGATGAACTGCTGTGGAGGAGGGACTTGGGGCTGATGTGACATGTAAAGCCTATGACAGGAAAGGACAAAGATCTCATGTCTCACATCTTGCCAGATTGGCAATTGAAATAGATGTAAATAAATTAAAAAAAAACCCTTATGACTACAAACTTAATTATATTGAACCTGTTTTTAATAATTGCAGATGAATTCTAGCTAATGTGCCAGGAAGAAGATAATTGTATAAACCCCCCTGTCTGTAGCATATCTTTGGATTTTCTTTTTTTTCTCCCTGTATACATGCTTCTGTTTTCAACACAGATTGCCCTAGCCTTCCACCTAGCAAATACATCTGCATTTTCCCCAGGAGAATACACAGATGGCAGTATTCAGACAGCAGCCTTATCCTGACTGTGTTAGCTTATAGATTGTCTTTGAAAACATAGAAATAAAATGTATAGTGTGCATTCATTTTTGGGAAGAAATTAATGCAGTACTGACTGATTTAGAGATGCAGTGCAGCACTTGCAAGCTGTTTATTTCTTCATTGAATGATTAATACCTTATTTATCCTTTTAGCCACAACTTGTGCCATTGGTTCTCAGTTATAGTTTTGATTTCAAGCATGCTAAGGTTGAGCTTTTACTTTCAAAGAGGGTATTTTAGTTCTGCTCAGAGTTTTAGATTCTGCTCAAAGCAGTACTCAAATTCCGCTTATCTCTCTGACAGTGAAATCCTGACCATGTTCTGCCCTTCAAATGCATTACTAACATATGTATAAAAGGGACCTGACATCTAATACAGATCCTATCCTATAATTTGCACCCATTCCTGAACCCAAAATCTGGAAACATTTTTTCAAGTAATTTTAAGAATCTCTGAAAATTGGGTATCTTACTTGAATTTACAGCTTTCAGCTATGACATCCTTCCTGTGTTACACTAAGTGTATCATGCCTACTACGTGTAGCACTATCRCCTTTCATCCCCCGTTTCTGGAGGAATCTGTATTGTAAACAAGCACATTGGGAGCTGTTGCAAAGCCAAGGAAGGCAGGAAGGAGGGATCGGAAACTCAGCCGTGGAAGTGCAGCTGCCTGGTGTCTTCCCAACTAAACAACTCTTCCCCAAAGCTTTCCAAGTGCCGCTTTGTTAAAACGTGCGTGTCTGGAGGACGGGCAGGGTTGCGGTGGGGCGCTGGGCAGGTTTTGCAGAGCTGCCAGGCTGAAACCTCCTTCGCGGGGAGCTCGGGCGCTGTGCAGGGCGCCCGGAGCAGCCGGAGCGGCCCCTCTCCCCGCGGAGCCCGAGCGCGGCCGCCGCGCGCTCCCTGCCCGTTCCCCTCGTCCCTGCAGGAGCTCCGCACACCTGCTCCAGGCCTGCGTGGGCGCTGCACCCGGGAGAGCACACATTCATGTCCAGCAGCAGCCTGTGCTCTTAATTCCGCAAGAGCCATGGTTTTTGACAGAACCAGAAACTAATTTCGGCCACAACGAAAGTTTTGGGTGAACTCCTACAAAAGATGCTGTTTCCGTGATCACCAGGCCTGGATTTGAAGCGGCGTTCTGCCAGTGAATGYGTCTCATCTCTTGACCAACTTCGATTTTATTATATAATTATAACACATTCAATGTATAATTTTAATGCATTTATGATGCAGGATTGTAGAGCTTAGTTCTTGCCAGTGCAGTGCTTTATTATCCACAGTTTCACCATAATACCTTCATAGAGTTCTAACTGCTGCTCTCCTGAAGGGAAAAATTACAGACCACAGAACTTAATTGCAGGTATCTGCACTCATGTTTTCCCAGCATCACAAAAGCAGGGTTTAGCTGTAAAACAACACCCTTTTAAATTGACTGTTATCTCTATGCATGCTTCAGCCTTCCGTGCACCCTCAGTATTCCCTAACTCTCCTATTCCCTAAAGTTCCTACCAAAGTCCGAAGGTGCATGAAAAAATCTTATGTAGATTTTTTGCCCTACAGCTCTCTTAGCACCGTAATGACAATGGGCAGGATACAACCTTAACATAAATTGAGATAGCTTAATTAAAATCCMTAGCCATGTCAATAGGCACCAGTTATTTAATTTCAGAATGCTTGAAAGCCCCAAGATCCAATAAACCTTCATCTTTTTAGGGAGTTTTGCACTAAAATAATCTTTTTAGGTGATGTTCAACAGGCACGGCAAGTATTTTGAGTATTTGAACAGGTTTAATKAGTTAAATATGAATTTAGTGATGAAATGCTAAAGTGCTTCAGCTTGAAATACAGGATWTATAGTCTMAYRCATCTCTTTTATTGGTCTCTTGGTCTCCATTATGGCTATTTATGCTTATAAAATAAAATGGGTGTACTTGTAGCTTTACCTTGCAGTGTCTGCAATGCGTTGCAGAAATTGTTGTGTGGAAACCCTTTCTGCGGCGGTGAGTTGCAAAGTGTCAGTGAGCTGGGGTCAGCGTTCTTGGAGCTGCAGCAGGTACGAGGGCACCCCGAGAAAGCCGCTCTTTAATCCCGGGAACGCCTGGGGTTTTGCCCCTGCTCTTTGTGTCTTGTGAATCTAGTATAGAAGCATAGAAGAAACGGGAGCTGAAGGAAAATATTGTGAGTATAAAATGGATGAAAATGTCAAATCAAAAGGTGCTTAACATACAGAGAGAGCTTCACATTGAGGTTTTTCCACAATATTTCACTGTACTTCAAATACTTCTCATATTTAAATTTTGCTGTGTGGTTAAGACTTTTGGTATCTCATGAGATATTTTCCCTTGATACATTAACCCAACAGGTTATTCTGTGTTGTCAGATATGTCTCTTTCTCTCTCCTGATTTTGTTTTACCTTTGAAATTGCTTACAATTAATGTTTTGTTTATGAGGTATAAGCAGTATTGCACATTGTTACCAAGTAGTTGCTCATCATTGAGAATGAACAAGTGATTTTTTTCTTTATTTAGAAAAGTGTTAGGTATCAATTCAGACCTACCTGTCTTTCCTTGAACAAGGAGGATTGAAAAGGGTTATTTTTGTTATATTAAGCAGAAGGAAACTCAGCCAATATAAGTACTGATGATCAAAGCAACCTCGCCTTGTTTACTGTGAATGTGTGCATGTATTTTCTGAGTGTTTATTGCTCTTCTGTTCTCAATTCATTCATATACTAAAAAACAGCACATCAAAATCTGATACAGGTTTTATCTCTTTGTGCTAGTCCATTTTACACCCTTGAACTCTTTGGATTTGTAAGTTACCCATGTGCTGCCATTAGAGGGGAAGGAAGCAATGCTCTCACTCAACTTACTATCATTTGCATTACAAGCAACTAACTTGTGGCCAGTGAGATGAAGTGTCAGTGCCAGCCCCAGCTCCAGTGCACGAGGATAAAGTCGCAGGATGAAGTCCCTGTTGGAGATGGATGGTTCCTTGATTCCCACAATAGGGAATTTAAGTCCTGGTTAGAAATTAAGGAACAGACTAACTCAGATTTCACATTCTCCAAATTAAACTAAAGCCCATCTCAGTGTCTGATCTGGCTGGATTGCTTTGTTGAGGGGAGATTACAACTGATTGGTGTGGCATTGATTTACCTATTGAATGCAAAGCAAGTGTTTCAGTGTGATGAGTTAAAGATTCTGTTGCAGCAGGAGCATGGGATCAGGAGAGGGGGCTGTGTACCAAGAAGATGTAAGGTTGGAGCCCCAAGCAGTTTTGGATAGAGGGTAATGCCAAGCTCTAAGACACCCTTTATCTTGAGAAATAGATAATCCCACAAGCTGCTATAAAATATGTGTGGGTGGAAATAGTCACTTATGGAAACAGCTAAAAAACATTCCAAACAAGACAAAAACATCCCGCGAACGGCTCCTTGAAGAGACGGAAGCTGCGAGGGAAAGGAGCGTCTGAAGCGAGGGTTTTCAGCGCCGTTGGTCTCGCTGGGTTCGGGCCTCGCTGGGTGCTGCAGGGCCACAGCTCCTCGTGCTCCCTGTGCGCGGGGCAGGGCCGCAGGGCYGCCCTGCCTGCGGCAGAGCTGGTGCCTGCAGCGCTTTGGCCTGGCTGCGGCGGCTCCAGGCAGGGAGCCAGGGAGCTCCCCTCCCTGCGGGGCCAGCGCAGGCCTGGAAAAAGAGGAAATCTTGAAGATACACGGCTGCCCGAAGGGAC